GATACTCCTCCACCACTCTTGCTCGTTGTAAGGTATGCGATGAGTGGAGGTCATTTCGGATGGGTGATCAAGTCCGGTGGCATGCCAAAAGAATATCTCATTTAGCTCACTTTCCGTTAAAGAGTGATCCTCGTTGAACATTCTAAAGTGGATCATAAGTTGAGGATCCTCATCAACATCTTCCAGCTCAATGACTTCCTTGCAAAGAGAGGCAAGGAATTCCAAAGTTACACGCTCGTAAGTGTAAGCGTGGAGGTGAATGAAGTCACCCCATCCAAAGTTCTAAGCCAACCTGACCACCTCATTCAAAATACCTAGCTTCCTCAAAGTTGTGGGGCAAAAGAATCTTGTAGAACGGATTGGACGCTTGATGAGTGACTCATAGATGGGCCAAAATTTCTCGTCCGAAGAAACAATGCCATGATAATTGATGCCGGAGGAGGTGGGAATTGTGGTCCTGAAGATTCTCCTACTCTCTTCCTCTTTGACTTTCCTTTGCCTTTGCCGAACATTTTGGTTCTACAAATTCACCAAGAGCATATCATTAGAACAAATTGATAAGGAATGACATAAGAAGCCAAGTAGCTAGCCAAGGTAAAAGTGTATGCATGAGAGAATACAATTCAAGGCATGCATGAATACATTTAAAACAAGGCTTGAATAAGAATTCCTATGTCATTCATATATGAGTCCTAACAAAGTCTAGGTAAAATTTGTCATGATGTCCCCTAATTTTCATGATAACCATTCATCAAACCATCATAAACAAGCCAAAGCAATGAATAACAATCTCCAACAACATCCAACTCATGAATTTCTCAATCATAAAATGGTAACATGAACACCCTAGTATGAAATCAACATTCTTAAGCCAAGACATTGATATCAAAATAAAACCAAGGCAAACATGCATAATCATCATAACAGCATGTTCTACTATCAACAACCAATCAATTGCTACAAGTAAATCCAAAGAACCACATGAATTAAATATGTAAAACATGGTAAAACTATGAGAAATTGTAGAAATAAACTTGAAAAAGCTAGGAAAACCATACCACAATTGATTAAAAGCAAGTAGAAACCCAAAAACACCAAAGCACTCAAACTCTTGAAATTGGGGAAAATGAAGAGATGGGATTTTTGTGAGGAATATTTGGTGGAGATTGTAAAAATTAAGTAGATGATGGAAAATAAGTGAGAAAAAGTGAGGATTGGAGTGATTTTGATGGAGATTTGAGGTTGTTAGAGGGGTTGTAATGGAGGTTTAGAGTGAGAAGGAGGAGAATGGAGAAGGGGAGATGCGAAAATGGGAGTGATAAGCCACGAAAATTCAGCAGCAAAATAATAAGGCAGCAGCGATTTGTTTTCAAAACTGATGCAAGGTTCGGCCGAACCAGGGGTATGTTCGGCCGAACTACAGTGAAAGTTTGGTCGAACCTAACCAGTTCGTCGAACCTAAGCTGTATCTCAATTTTTTCGAATCCTAGTAGAATGTCACAGCAATTTTGGAAAAATGGAGGAGTGACCGAACCCAGGGACAGTTCGGTCGTACTACAGAACAAGTTCGGTCGAACCATCCCAAGGTTCGGTCGAACCTTAACTGGAACCCGGTTTTTGCAAATTTTGGCAGAATGGACTTGAAATTTTTCAAAAATTGAGGAGTGACCGAACCAAGGACAGTTCGGCCGACCTGCAGTAAAAGTTCGGTCGAACCATCCCTAGGTTCGGTCGAACCATCCCTAGGTTCGGTCGAACCTTCTGTCAAAATGCAAATTTGATCCCTTTGGCAGAATGCTGCCATAATTCCTTAAAAATGCTGCAGTGGCCGAACATAAAGTGGTTCGGCCAAACTCCCTTAAAAATTGGCACAAGTAAAAATTGTCCTTAACACACATCTAAACACCATACAACCATGCTAAATGCAAAGCATATCAAAAATCCCGACACAATCAAAACTCATAAATCCCAACAATCCAAAATTGTAGATAGAAAGATAAAAGCAACAAGAAAAGGAGAAAGTAGAAAAGGGTTAGAAACTTGGGTTGCCTCCCGGAAGCGCTTTTGGTTAACGTCGTTAGCTCGACGTTCCTTGAGTTGATCAAGGAGGGTCAAATTGACGATGTACTTCAAGAAGTGTCACAGAAATCGGTTCATCACTTGGGAATCCTTCATAATAGGGCTTCAGACGGTGACCGTTGACTTTGAAGGGAGAGTGGCCGTCTTGGGAGATTTTGTAGGCTCCATATGGGAACACTTCCATGACAACGTACGGCCTACTCCACCTTGATCGTAGTTTTCCCGGAAAGAGTTTCAATCGCGAGTTGAAGAGAAGCACCTTTTTCCCCTTGACAAAGTCTTTCTTGATGATTTGGGTATCGTGCCAAGCTTTGGTTCTCGCTTTGTATATACTTGCACTCTCATAAGCATTCATCCTCAACTCCTCTAACTTGTGCAACTCTAGGAGCCTTTGTTCTCCTGCATTATGGAGATCCAAGTTGACTTGCTTGATTGCCCAATGAGCACGATGCTCCACCTCCACGAGCAAATGACAATTCTTTCCATAGACGAGCTTGTAGGGGGTGGTCCTTATCGGAGTCTTGAAGGCGGTCCTATAAGCCCATAGAGAATCAATGAGTTTGGAGGACCAATCCTTCCTCGTCCTAGCAACCGTCTTCTCCAAAATCACCTTAAGCTCTTTATTGGTGACCTCCGCTTGACCACTCGTTTGAGGGTGGTAAGAAATCCCTCGCTTGTGAGACACCCCATACTTATCAAGTAGTCGAACGAAGGTGTGGTTCTTGAAATGCGATCCCCCATCACTAATTATTGCTCTTGGAACACCAAATCTCGAAAAGATCACTTTCTTGAAAAGATTGACCACCACCTTAGAGTCATTCGTTGGAGAAGCTACGGCCTCCGCCCACTTGAATACGTAGTCAACGACAACCAAAATATACTTGTTCCCATGTGAAGAAATGAAAGGGCCCATGAAGTCTATAGCCCACACATCAAAAACTTCAAGCTCAAGGATGGGATTTTGCGGCATTTCATCCCTTCTAGAAATATTCCCCATCTGTTGACATCTATCACAAGTCTTGACAAATATCCAAGCATCCTTGAATAGAGAAGGCCAAAAGAGCATAGATTGAAGGACCTTTGAGGCGGTCTTTTGAGCACTCATATGCCCACCACAGGGAGAAGAGTGGCACATATGGAGAACACTTTGAACCTCGTCGTTGGGGACGCATATCCTCAACAAACCATGGCTCCAATTTCATCCTAAATGTATCTCTTGGCCTCGTGCTTGAGTTTTCGACGTTGTTGCGAAGTGAAATCCGGCGGTACGGCACTACAAGCTAAGTAATTCACAATATCTGCATACCATGGCTCCAATTTCACTTCAAGGACATATAGCACATCATCTCTTAGAGCGTCCTCTATTGGCAAGCCATCATCTTCAAACCTTGCACTGCCCAACCTTGAAAGGTGATCCGCCACCACATTCTCGGTTCCCTTCTTGTCTCTCATCTCATAATCGAAGTCTTGGAGGACTAAAACCCATCTCAACAACCTTGGTTTAGCTTCCTTCTTTCCTAACAAATATTTGACAGCCGAGTGGTCGGTATACACAATTGTCTTAGAACCAATGAAGTAGGTTCTAAACTTCTCAAATGAATGGATAACCGCTAGGAACTCCTTCTCGGTAGTTGTGTACTTTTGTTGGGCATCATTGAGAGTTTTAGACAAATAATGTATGACATGAAGTTTCTCATCCTTTCGTTGTCCAAGAACCGATCCAATGGCCTCGTCGCTTGCATCGCACATGAGCTCAAATGGAAGAGACCAATCCGGACCTTGGACAATAGGAGCGGTGCAACCGGCTTCTTTCAGCCTACAAAAGGACTTATGATAAGCATCATTAAACACAAACTCCTTATCTTGTTGCAATAGGGATGTGAGAGGCTTAGCAATCATTGAAAAATCTTTTACAAAGCGCCGATAGAACCCGGCATGGCCAAGAAAAGACCTCACTTCCCTCACGTTGGTGGGGGGAGGAAGTTTTTCAATTACCTCAACCTTGGCTCTATCAACCTCAATGCCGGCATGGGAAATTTTGTGCCCAAGAACAATCCCACTTTCCACCATAAAGTGGCACTTTTCCCAATTCAACACGAGGTTAGCCCTCTCACACCTTTCTAAGCAACGAGATAAATTAGATAGACAATCTTCATAGGTGGCTCCTCCAATGGAGAAGTCATCCATGAAGACTTCTATCTCATCCTCAATCATATCACTAAAAATGGACATCATGCAACGTTGGAATGTTGCGGGGGCATTACAAAGCCCGAAAGGCATCCTACTATACGCATAAGTACCGTAAGGGCATGTGAAAGTCGTCTTCTCTTGATCCTTGGGGTCAATCGGGATTTGGAAAAATCCCGAGTAACCATCAAGGAAACAATAGAAGGAATGCTTTGTAAGCCTTTCCAACATTTGATCAATGAACGGTAGTGGAAAATGATCTTTGCATGAACTTGTGTTAAGTTGGCGATAGTCAATAGACATGCGCCAACCGATAACAAGTCTAGTGGGTACTAGTTGATCATGATCATATTTCACTACCGTCATGCCCCCTTTCTTAGGCACAACTTGCACGGGAGATACCCAATCACTATGATCCATTGGGTAAATAATTCCCGCATTAAGAAGCTTAGCCACTTCCTTCCACACAACCTCTTGCATGGAAGGGTTAAGCTTTCTTTGCCTTTGCCTAACGGGTTTGGCATCTCCCTCTAGATCAATTTTGTGCATACATAAAGATGGACTAATACCTTTGATATCATCAATGGTATAACCCAAAGCTTTCTTGTGTTTTCTCAAAACATTGATCAAGAGGGAGGTTTTCTCCTCCGTTAGGTTAGAATTTACAATCACGGGGAAAGACTCATCGGGACCAAGTATTGCATACCTCAAGCCCAAAGGTAGAGGTTTCAAGTCTACCTTTGGTGCTCCCTTACCATTGGGGCTCTCTTCTCTTTCTTCAACTTGAAAGAGGTCATGAATGTAAGAGCCTCTTCTTCCATGCTCGCATCCTTGCACTCCTTCTTGCTTTCCTCAAGCAAATCCTCATAGAATTGTATGTCTTCTTTGTGAGTACCTATCTTTGATTCATTCAACAACACACTTTCTAGAGGATCATTAGTAGCATGCAAGTGGGAGCGAGAAAATTTATTAAGAACGGTATCAAGAACATCTACCCTAAAGCATTCACCACTTGAGGAGGGTTGTTGCATGACATTATTCAAATAAAACTCAATAGAATAATTGTAAATCTTCAAGGATATCTTCCCCTCCTTCACATCGATGATAGCTCTAGAAGTAGCTAGAAATGGTCTACCAAAAATTATAGGAATCTTCTCATCCTCATCCATCTCTAGCACATAGAAATCCACGGGGAATGTGAACTTTCCTACCCTAAGGGGAATGTCCTCAACTTTTCCCATGGGGAACTTAACGGAACGGTCCGCTAGTTGGAGAGTAATGTTAGTGGGGGAGAGGGTTCCTACACTAAGCTTTTGGTAGACGGAATAGGGCATGAGACTCACACTTGCTCCTAAATCACACAAGGCTTTATCAAATTCAATGCCATTGATAGAACAAGGGATGGAAAAGTTACCAAGATCTTTCAATTTGGTAGGAAGTTTGTTGGAAAGAATTGCACTACAATTGGCGGTCAAACTCACCGTCTCACACTCCCTTCTCCCACTCAAAAGGTCTTTCAAAAATTTGGAATAGTGGGGAATTTGCTTCATAGCATCAACAAAAGGGACGGAAATATGCAAATTCTTAATGACTTCCAAAAACTTCCCAAATTGGGCATCAAGTTTATCTCTCACAAATCGTTGTGGAAAGGGTAGCTTCTCCTCTCTAGGTTGGCGATTTAGGGGCAAGGGGGTGGCTTCTTTTTCCTTGGGCACCTCAATATTTTTTTCCTTTTCAACACTCAATCACTACGTGAAAAAATAAAATTGGCACTGGTTCAAACCTGGCCTAAGGCACCGGTTTGAACCGGTGCAAATGTGGGGGGGTGCCAAAAAGTGGTTTAAAAAGGCACCGGTTCAAACCGGTGCCAAAACTCGGAATTGGCACCAGTTAACCGGTGCAAAAAAATCCCAATAAAATTTAATTCATTGCTTTTGGCACCGGTTAAGCGGTGCCAAAAGTGCCAAATATATATATATATATATATATATATATATATATATATATATATATATATATATATATATATATACATATATATATGTATATATATATTTTACTTATAAATTAAATAAACTAAAATAAAATGAGAATAAAAAAATCGAACATCACAATCAATATAATATACTCTGTTCAATATATATATAATCATCAACAAAAATTTACAGTATAGAACAATAAAAAAAATTACAACATATAAACCAAAATAAAAAAAAAATTACAACATATAAATAAAAAAAAATTACAATATAAATCAAAAAAAAAACTTCACAATAAAAAAAAACCCATACAACATCTAAATCAATATACTTGCATCTTGATTTTTTGATTTAAGTGTACCTGCACCAATTAAAACAACCAAAATAAATCAATTAAAGTGATTTAATAAAGCTACGAAAAAAAAATTTAAAAAAAAAACTAGAAAATCAAAAAATAAAAAACAAAATCAGTTGAAAAGAAAAAAAAACAGAAGATCAGTTAAAAACCAAAATTGAACCCAAAAAATAAAAACCAAAATAAAAAATCAGGAAAAAAAACCCTGAAAATTAAAGAATTTCGAATTTAAATCGAATAAAATAAAAAAAATCGAAAAATAAAAATGAAAATCAGTGGAAAAGAAAAAAAAACCCAGAACATCATTTAAAAACCAAAATTGAACCCAGAAATTAAAAACCAAAATCGAAAATCAGGAAAAAAAACTCAGAAAATAAAAAAAATTCGAATTTAAATCGAAAAATAAAAAAGAAAATTCCAAAACAAACCCAGAACAACAAACCCAGAACAAATCTTGCATCTTTAACGGATCTAAATCAAGTAAAAAAATCAACAAACCCAGAACAAACCCAAAAACGCATGCATTAACCCAAAAACGCATGCATTAACCCAAATTCGATTATCGTAACCGAAAATTAGCCCAGAAATCGAAAAACAAAATCAAAATCGAAAAAAATCCCAGAAATAGAAAAAAAATCAAAATCGAAATCAAAAAAATTAACCTAGAAAAATCCAAAAATCGAAAACACCCAGAAATCGAAATAGTTGAAATCGAAAAAAACTTGAAATCGAAAGAAAAATCAAAAACCCAGAAAAAAAAATTGAAATCGTAGAAAAAAAAACCGAGAAATCGGTGAAAAAAAATCAAAATTAATTGAAAGAAGAGTTTGAAATTAAAAAAAATCAAAATTGAAAAAAAAACTATTAAATTCGATTGAAAAACCTCAAAATCCGTGTTGCATGTTGTTGTCTTCGAATTGTTGGTGGTTTTCGAGTGATGATAGAAAGGAAGAGGAGATCTAGAAAGATAAAGGATGAAGGATTGAAGGAGATCGGCGAAAGAGGAGGAGAGGAGAGAGAAAAAGGAGGAGGAGGAGGAGAGAGAGAAAGAGGAGAGAGAACGGCCGAGAATGAATTAGCTTAGGGTTGGGGGTAGTTATAAGGGCGGTTTTTTTTAATATTTAAATGAACCGGTTCGTAAAGGCACCGGTTCAAACCGGTGCCCTTTTTAATTTTGGCACCAGTTTGGGCTGAACCGTTGCCTTTTTCTATTTGTGTAAAATTGCGCCCAATTTTGGGCCGGTTTAGGGCACCCGTTTGGCTTGAACCGGTGCCTTTATGGGGGTGTCTTATTGTATTTTTCTACTAGTGAATGGGTCATTGGGTTTTTCACACTCATTCTCTAACTCCACCTCTTCTTGGGTTCTTCCTCAACTAAAGGGTCACTCCCTACTACCTTCCCACTCCTAGTTGTCACGGCATACAAAGGTTTTGGGTTGATTCCTTGACTTGGGATGTGAGAAGAAGAAGAAGAAGAAGAAGAAAAAGAAGAAGAAGGGGATGAATTAGATGCATGTTGAGCAATTTGGGTCTCAAGCATTTTCATATGAGCATTGGTTCATTTTTGGGCCTCTTCATGTTTCTTTTGATCCTCCTCACGCATTTTCAAAAGAGCATCTAATTTAGCCATCACAGGATCAATTGGAGGGGCTTCAAGTTGAAGAGGTTGTTGAGGTGGAGGAAGTTGGGGTTGATGGAAACCTGGAGGCCTATTAGTTTGGGCATAGTTAGAAACAAATTGGCCCCTATTGCCTCTGGTGCCTTGGTTAGGAACATTGCTTTGTTGATTATTTCCCATGTTACCTTGATCACCAAAATTTTGATTTTGATGGTCATGGTATCGGGAATTAGGTTGTTGGTTTTGATTACCATACTCCCTTTGGTTAGAGTAGCCTCTTCCATTGAAATTGGAAGGGCCTCCCCCAACATGGTATTGGTTATCATAACCACCACCACTTTGGTTCCAACCACGGTTTCCACCTTGATTCCAATTCCCCATTTGATTGGAGTTTGGCCTCAAGTTCCCTACATTTCCCATTCTAGGAGAAAAATTCATAGCATTGACATTTTCCATATTATCATCATGTTCATGGGAAGGGGGTTGAACTTCACAAGCATATACACAATGAGAGGTATCATACTCATAGGTTTCACAATTAGAGCAAAATATGCATCCTTGGGGCATTGTATTGTAAGAGGAGGAGGAGGAAGTATCCATACCATTGCCTCCCTTGGTTGAAGGGGAGGTATTACCATGAGGGTTGGACCTTTTTTCATCAATTCATTCATTTGCTTGGTCATTTTGGAGATTTGGGTAGAAAGGTTGTTGATTGTGTTGGCTTGCTCCAATTCATAAACACCCTTACTAGAAGTAGCATCCCTTTCTTCTTCATACCAATCATCATAGTGCTTTGCGGCCTCCTCTATAATATACTCCACTTCATGCTCTCCTTTGTTCATGATTGGACCGCCGGCCGCGGCGTCTAGGCTTGTTCTTCCTTGAGGCGTGAGACCTCCATAGAAAGTGTGAATGAGTTGATACTTGGGTATCCCATGGTGTGGGCATTGACGTTGAAGCTCTTTGTATCTTTCTCATGCCGCACTTAGAGACTCACCACTCTTTTGGCGAAAACCTTGAATTGAAGACCTAGCCTCGGCGGTCTTCCTATGGTTATAGAACCTCCTCAAGAAAGCTGTAGTCACTTGGTCCCATGTTGTGAGAGAATTAGGGGGCACCTCCTTCTCTAGCCATTCTAGACCTCTCCCAATTAGTGAAAATGGAAACATTTTGAGGCGAATATATTCTTGAGTCACTCCATTGACCTTTACCGTGTCACAATATTTTTCAAACTCTTTTAAGTGCTCATGAGGACTCTCAAACATTCCACCCGAGAATTGTTTCCTCTCAATCAAAGCAATCAAATTAGGCTTGATCTCGAAATTGTTGCCTTGAGTAGTAGGAGTTAGGATCCCACTTTTCGCTATAAAAGCTTCGGGGGCCCCAAGACAACTCAAAGGCGTATTCTCTCCCATTTTAGAACCTTCTTCACTCTCGAACTTATAGGTTGAGAAAGGGTTGATTTCCGAACTCGAAGATGAGTTAGGGCTATCTAATTCTTCACTTGAGGGTGAAGAGGGTAGAGTATCTTCTAATTCTCTTACTTCTCTCGTTGGAGTGTGAGAATTTCTACTCCTTGCTCTTGCTTGTCTTCGAAGTAGGGACAATGACCTCTCTAGCTCTGGATCGATGGGAATCAAAGATCTTGAGCAGGTTCGTCCTCTGTTCATATAACAAAGGTAAGAAGAACGTAAGCACTGAAAAGTAACAAAAGTAGCAAACACTAACAAATAAAAGATGAGATAGTCTCAAACAAGCAATGAAATAGCAATGGAAGCCGTCTCCCCGGCAACGGCGCCAATTTGACAAAGGAATAATTGCGTCGTCAAACAACTATACCTAAATCAAATACAATTTATAACACTCGACTCAACCAATTACAAATATAGGGCAATTAGAGGGGTCGAACCACAGGGAGAAATGCATAAATACCGCATTCATTACCTAGAGTCTAAGCTATCTCGGAACAAGAAGTGTGAATAACTAAGAGATTAAACTAAGAACGAAATGGATTAAAATTAATATAACTAAGAACCAAGGGAAATGGGTATATGTAGATGTCGCTTGATCATGCAATAACAAAGTAGCAAATCGATGGTAAACTAAACATGCATGAATATTGAAGTAAGGCCCAATCTAACCGCCTTCCGGGGTTAATCGGTTTCTCCTAACATAGCCTCTATGTTTCCACACTAGAACCATATATTAGAAGGTGCAATCAAGACTCACCTTTAATCAACTATCAATGTGCACTTGCAAGAAGATCAAAGAATATCAAGCATGCAAAGACTTTAATCACCATGAACATAACCCCAACATTATAAGCATGAACAATTAGCAACTACAGCATCCCCACACCCTTGGCTAGGTGACTACTCACAAATCATATTGAAAACAATATCAATCATCAAATCAATAAGCTTCAACATGATTAATAAGCACAGTAGAAAAATCAAAGCAAATAAGCAAAATCAAAAACAAAGGTAAAGAGAAAGAGTAAGAGATTGCTCATTAATTGAAGATGAAGGTCTACAAAGGATTGAACAAACTCCTTCTTCAAAATCCATGTTCATCAATGAAGAAAACCACACTTTCTCT